CGAATACCTCAAGCGTGTGACGGAAATGTTACGCCCCTCACCATACTGTGATGATGCCGTGTCCGGCTGGAGCGACAAGACAAAAACATTAAAACCCATTATAAGCGAGGCATTTGTTGCATCCAGTGGGGACATAATTACTGATTATAATGACTTATACTGTCTTTTTACGTGTTGCGTATTGCGCCGCGTAAACATAAAACCATGTCTGCATTTGTGATCGGAGAAATGACAAACAACAAGCGCTACTCTACACTGCTCAAAACTCGCGTTTGAATCATCAGTGGCAAATTCTTTAAATATAAAAACGTACTTACAGGCTGTGAGTCAGATGCGCCAGACTGTCCTTGCAAAGTTGGAACTGCCCCACTTTATAGAAACATTATGGCCTCTTTTGGAAGGCCAAACAAAGTAGTTTTGCCTTCACCACGAAACACACAGCTGCTTGAGTGAGCGGTGCCCGGCGGATTCGACAAAAGAGGCTTGCGGCAACCACATGTGACGACCCCGGGCTGGAGTCCGCTTCGTCCACGGTGAAAGCCGATCCGACGATCCACAGAGCGAAGTTGATGTTTTTCCTCAGCGACCAGCACGGATCAGCTCTAGGCATGACAAAGCTGATATCGTCCTCTTTTGGAAGGCCAAACAAAGTAGTTTCGCTTTCACAATGAAACACACAGCATATCCACAACATGGCGGCGGCGGCAGCAACAATACTACAGCGAGAATAAAAGTTACGCCGCCTTTCTTTGCGTGAACATTTGGGCGGCGTTATGCAAATCTTCCCACATAGTGATGTAGACATGTGGGGGCGTGTTAGAACGAGCCGTTTTAGGTAGGTGTGGCTGACTCTTAACTTTTATAAAGAATATCTCTTTGGATTTGAGACTTTAGTCTTTGCAACTTTACAGATCTTCTTTATGCACCAAGAGCTTGTAACACTCCAAAGAGAAAGGAAAAATTTAAATCGCATCATATGACCCCTTTAATGCGTAATAATTCATTATGATGGATTTTCATAGTTTAAGATCAAAGTCTGGTAAAACAAAGCTACAACAAAGTCTATACTTAAAGGCATTTGAAAGTAGCAAAATGAAGGCATAAAATTTCCAAGAAAGTTTTAATGTCCCCTTCATATAATAAAAAGCCGAATTCTCCTTCTTTCCTGGCGGGGGTCCGCTACTTGGCTCCGTTTTATACACTTGGCTCGGTTTATGTACTCCAGGGTTAGGTCAGCTGCCCGCATGTCCTCCGTGACGCTGTCCATCCATCGTTTCTTAGGTCTTCCTTGTGGTCGGCAGCCTCCCAGGTCGAAGCGGAATGCTGTTCTTGCCACAGAGTCCTTGTTGATGTGCATGACATAGCCATATCACCTGAGACGGGCTTCTCTCAACTTCGCTGTGATTGGGGCAACTTGGAGTCTTCGCCTGATGTCCTCATTCATTACGTGGTCGTGGAAGGTTAGCCCAAGCATCCATCGCAGCATCCTCATTTCCATCGCATGGAGGGCTAGCTCATGTTTCTTGGTCGTGGGCCAACATTCCGCTCCATAGAGAGCAGCTGGGCACTCAACGGTCTTATAGACCTTTGCCTTGAGGTATTCTGGAATTTTCTTGTTGCACAGGACCCCGGTGACTTGTCTCCACTTCCTCCACGCCATGTTAATTCTTGCTCGGCCATTAGGGAATGTGTCACCGTCCGACGCGACCAGGGACCCGAGGTATTTAAATTGGGCAGTCATCTTCAATTCCTGGCCATTAATGCGTAAAGTGCCATTAGTTTGGGGGCCGCATTCAAGGTACTCCGTCTTTGCAATAGTGATTTTAAGCCCATTTTCACTTAGCCGGTCGTACCATTGCTGCGCTTGATCCTCAAGGTCCTCACGCTTTGAATCCACAAAAGTGACATCATCAGCATAGTGGAGCGTCCAGGCATGTGGTTTTTGGAGATCGGCTGTCGCTGTGTCCATGTAAAGAATGAACAGCAGGGGTGAAAGAGCTGACCCTTGATGTACGCCAACGGTGAAGTCAAAAGGTGGTGATATTCCGGTTGGGCATCGGACCACGCTTGTGGTGTTGCAATATAATAATTTGAACCATTTTACATACTCTTCTGGGGCACCATGCAATCTTAGCGCTCACCAGATGAGCTCATGTGGAACTTGGTCGAGCGCTTTCTCCAGGTCCAGAAAAGTCATGTGCACTGTTGTATTTCTCCATCAGCAGGCAAACAACGTTGATGGCATCAGTGGTCTATGGAGCTTATAATATGACAAAACTATTTGAATTTGAATTATTGACATGTCATTTAACAAAACTGAATTTTTTTGTGGCATTTAACATAGTTCTGAATTTTTTTTTTTTTTTCTTGAATATTGGACATTTGAAATTTAACACAATAGATTTTTTTTATGGCAGTTTTTTTTTAAATAGACGTGTATTTTCAAACAGCGGATTTTTTGTTCTGAATTGTTAGACTGCAAATATCCAGTTTTTAAAAATACAGCTTCAAGTTTTCAAGATGAGGAAGAAACCGCCTACTTTCCTGCTATTCGCAATTTGAATAGAAGTTTTAATAAACAAGTTTTGTCTACCTCATGTAGGAGAATACGTGTGTGGTTCGGGTCGGGTACGGAGTTCTAGTATTGCTGTCGGATAACAGGTCGAGTGTTCTGTCAATTACTGCGGGTGCGGGTTTATCAAACAGGACCCGTGTAGGACTCTGCCACGACTTCCTATGTTGATGGAACAACATTTTTTCCCCCGTGGCCACGAGTTTAAGGTGTAAACAACCTGCGTGATCATATAACCTGGGATTATCAGAGATGGATAAAACATTTTTGTCCATCCCCAGTCTTGCTTCAGATATTTAAAAAGCTGTGCCATTTTACAAACATTACAGTGTGTGTATTATATATATATATATATATATATATATATATATATCAGTCTGGCGAGTATACTAAAAAATGTACTAGCCAATGGTGATTCAATTGCCAAGGTGTCCGTAGAGGGTTGATATGTTCAAAAATAATACAAGGAAAGTGCTTTAAAAAAGTTTTCAAAAGTCAAGGTAATTCAAATTCAAAATGACTGAAGATATAACACCAGTAGACTATTATTAACTATAACTATTTCAGACATACTAGTAGTTTCTTTACAGGTTTTTATTCGATTACGCTGCTTTTCCATTGTTTTTTCTATGTAAACATGGACGTGTTTGTCTGTTGGGCTCGCGTCTCTTGTAGCGTCTCATGCAAGAAATGGCATTCTAAAAACGCAGCGCTCAAGTTAAAAGAAGTTCAACTCCCATCTTCCGGCATTTTTTAAAATCTATTCCACTGCCCGCGTCACATCTTTGTCAACACAAAAGCGCATTCTGTGTGAGAATTTCAGTTAATCACATGCGCCGACGTCATCAGGGCCGGATCCCCTTACTGTTTTTCATTTTTTCCATGGCTAGTTTCACCTTTGCGATTGTGATTCGGGGTACAGGGCCGAGGGTATGCGGTGGGCTTGGTATTGGCGGATGTTGAAATTCCTCATTACAGATGCTGGAAAAAAACAGGATTTGGTTCTCAGGTCTTTTGACTTGCATGACATGGCCAATGTCTTGGGTGGAGCCATGGCAGGACTTGGCGAGGCAGTAAATATTATTTGCCGCCTCTGGTGTGTCCAGCTGATTATACAAATCCTGGTAATGGTGGCTCTTTGCGGCGCCCACTGCCGGCTTCGCTGCTGATTTCAGCTGATTTCGATATCGGTCCAAATCGGCACTAAGCCGAGTGTTCCTCCAGGTCTTGAAAGCCAGCTTTTTCTCTCGAATTGCCCATTGCACTTCTTCATTCCACCACTATGTTTGCTTGTCAGTGAACTTCCAACCTCTCCCACGATCGTTTCTGCCGCATGGTGAATATTTTAATAATACATAGATGACTTTAAAACGTACATGGTATAAAGGCCTACAGAACTCAAATTATGATTTCATGGTCTGTAAAAGTGTGTATTTGGAGTCTAAAAAGTGTTTTGTCTTTTTTTTAGTGAGTCTTCAGCATCAGAAGCAGAAGGTTCACATAGTGGTCCAGTGAAGAGTAAACATCGTGAAGAAGAAGATGATGCTACAAACACTGAGATGCACGAAGCGAAGAGACTAAAGTTTGAAAAAGAGGAAGAGGATGACAATGAGGATGGAAGGGAGAAAGAGCTGGATGAAAAGCAGTCACCCTGCACATCGGCAGCAGAGAGTTCATCAGATGTACTGCAGTCCTCATCAGACGTCACTGCGGAGGTGAAGGATAATAAACCTGACGAATTCGTCACTGAAGACCAAGGTACATTCTTTTTCCAGTGCACTGACTACCAGCAGAACTATGTTAATAGCATATTGGCATACACATAAAGAGATTTTGCTTTTAACATCCTGTGTGAACCGAGAATGTGAATATCAGATCAATTTTAATTGAAGCATCTGGACCTTGCCCATTCATTGAAGGTTATTTTGCCTATCATCAGAGTGGCTTCATCTGTTGTCTGGGACTGTCAACTATTTGTTTTAGGCTGTTTTCACATTTGGTTTGCTTGTTTGGTCCAAACCTGAGTTTCATTCCCCCCCAAAGGTCTTTTTAATATTGTATTATGTGGCTCAGATCCACAATGCATTTGTAGTATCAACATGAGTACTATACAAGCGCTAGCGGCAGCTGTTTACCACTGTAGCTAGGTAACCGTTCAGGGGAACATGCCAAAAATGGAAAGTGCTGTTTGGTTTGTTCCTTTGCTGGCTAAACTAAATCCTAACATGCATGGCGATGGCAATTTCTGCAGACATGAGCAGCAATGAAAAATGCATTATACTTTAATAGGCTTCCACATAATAAACCAGATTTCATGACATTTGCTAACCGTCCTGGAGTTCACATAAACCCTATCCCACAATCCTATTTTGAAGGTTTGGCAAAAAGCCTCATTCAGGAAATGTACTTGTCCCCCTCTGCCAGTTAGGTCTGGTGTTTAAACTGGAGATTTAGTATGTCTTTATAAAGTGTGTATCTGGGTAATCGCAGGGTTTTAGAGCTTTTTTTATGTCTAGTCTTTGTTAAAAGCAAGGAAGTTTCCACTATCTGATAGCTGATGAAGCCAACTGGATGAGCAGTGAATGTCAAATAAAGAGTAATTAACAATAAACAAATAAAGAGATGCTCTGTAATAAACACTAATGGTCAGAAGTTTGGACACACCTACCCATTTTGGGTTATTAATATTTTAAACATTTGTTAGGTGACATCATAGTTAGGTGATTAAAAAAAACAAAAAAAAACACTTTATTTCAGTTATAATTTAACCTTTTTTTTTTTTTTGTAGAATTTTGATTTCATAAAGACATTTGATCATTCAGAAACTCATTTAGTCAGTGTGTCCAAACTTTTAACTTGGTGTATTTTTTTTATTTTTATATATACTGTACATTCCTCTGTGCAAGGACTGAAAGACTGAAAATCATCATAGACCATAGTATTTGGGTTCAGTCAGTGTAAAATAAGCCACTAATGTAAATTTTTCTTGTTTTATTTCAACCAGCTTGGTCATGTGTGTAACTGCTGTGCTAATATCTTTGCATATTGAGCATCTCTTTGCATACATTTACATTGTCTGCTCCTCTCTCTGCAGAACCCTCTAGTACACAGTCAGAGGTCGTAGAAAACAGGGTTGAGAAATCTGCTTCGGACGATTCACCCGACCCTTCCCACAATCAGGCGACTGGCAGCGAATCAGATCTACCAGAGCAGCGGTCGGAGAGGGAAGAGAGCGCCGAGGCTCAGGAAACGGACGAGAAAAATGACCCAGTCAGCAGTAGCAGCAATAACAGCAGTGACGAGGAAGTGTCCAGTGCAGAGACTCCATCTGCAAGTCCCAGCAGTTCCACAGAGCTGACAGCAGAGGGCAGTACCACTGCAGAAATCAGTTCGGACAGCTCAGAGACTGCGGATGACACCATGGAGCAAGACTGAAGTTTGGCCGCACATTATTGATTTTTACACTCTACTGTACAAACCCCCAAAAATCACTTATCCTGCAAGTTTAGCAGATCCTGTATAGACCAGGAGAGGAGGGCATTCTGGTGACGTCTCCAAAGACCTCTCATGACACATCTACTCCTTATGACCCTTCTTAAGGCATCTTCTCTTAATATGGGCTGTTCTCCTAAGAACAACTAAAAAAACTGGAAGCTCATCTTTCTGGTGGTTGAGCGGAGCGTTTGCCATTGAATAACTCGAAAGCCTTGTGTCCTTGGTGGTTTTCTGTAATCCTGTTCTAATCATGGGCGTTCATCAACTCCACTTCAACACGTTTTAAAGCTGTCGGGCAAAACACCTTTAATTTCTCATCAATCTCTCTCCTGCTCTACAACGAGTGAACAGGTGGCAAATCTTTGGTTTGTGTGAATGTGTGCGTATGTTTTTAGGGGTGAGGGGTGTGTGTGCACTTCCTTTAGTTTAGTTCAGTCAACGGATGATCTCAGGATTCCCGTCGACCGGCAGACCAGTGTCTCAACATTCCAGGAGAACACCCCTTTTCCCTCATATTGCCTTCTGCATTCATCTGCTGGCTTGTAGCACAAAGTGCTCAATAGCAGCATTAGACCGATTTCCTTTCTTTGCCATTTCTTTTATTTTTAGGTCCTTTGATTTTAACTGCCTTCCCAACATAGCACTGACATGTATTAGTCCACTGATGCTGGTAAATAGATTCTAAAATGGACTAATGTGATTTTCCATGCACTAGATACTCGAGTGCTGTTGGTTGCAATGTGTAACTTAATATAGTGAGCCTGTCTTTTCAGCTGACATAATATGCTTAACCACTATTTGAGCCATCCTTTTTTGTTATAAGATTTTCATTTTGTTTCATCAAACAATGGCAAACAGTTGTATAAAGGTTAAAATGAGCAACACTGTCAACACCAACATCTCTTAAACTGTACTTTTCATGCTTCCTACAGACATGTATACAGGCTGTTCTACCCATACCTATTTCCACAGCTCCTTTTTGATATGTAGAATTTTTAAATTAGATTTTGTAGATTATAAGTGTTCACTGCTTATGTGAAAAGTGAAATTGTATGATCTCAATGTGAACTGAATGCTTGGGCTTTCAACAGTATTCCTGAAGAGCAATAAATGTTCACAATAAAAGCAGTGATATGCTTAATCTGTGACAACCGGAGACATTTCTAACCTTTTATCGGAATAAAACTCTGGAATATCAGGTCATACACAATTCATTTTCACCACAATGTTTAAGTGAAACCTAAAACTGTTAGTGATTACATTTAATAAGTGGGTGATATGCAAGTAATGGGCAGTAACTGCAAATAAGAGCTAGAATTTCACATAAAATAAATTTCCATCTGCTCTTACATTAAAATATGAGTTGCTCAATAAAATATTTCAGTACAAACTGCAATGTTAGTGCACCCTCAAGTTCTATAAAGTATTAAGATGTGAAATCTGTAGTTTGTTTGAATTCATCATCAATGTTATGTACTCCAACTGTTGTGTCTCACAAATCTCTGTAAATTTTCATACTTAAGTCCATGAATGACCCACCTCCTTAAATGAGGCTAGATTTTCCACACCAACCCTCACACAGTTTTACACAGTAAACTAGTAAAGTGCCCTAAACCAAGCAATCCCTTATACTGTAGTCACAGAAAGAAAGGAATTATATAGTCTTTTATCGTCTGTGGACATTGTGCCATGTGTCAGCAGCTCCTGAATGGTCATCCAGTTGTCAAATATCTTCTTGTTCCTCCTCTTCATCATCTTTTTACGGCTAAGCTGGATAATATCAGGCTCCTTGTTGTCCATTGCTCCTGCTTGTTCTTTGCTCTCTATGCAACACTGCTTCATGAGTTCCCGCCTCTGACGCTGTTCTTTGGCTCGTGCTGCATGCTGTTTGCGCTCCTCCTTGTTCCAGTATCGACCCAGTTTTAGTTCGCTTGCTGCATCGTCATCTGTAGTTGCGCTGCAGCGTTCTTCTCGAATGCGCAAAGCTCGCTCCTTCAGAAGCTGGTCCCTGATAGGCCTTTTGGTGATGTATCTTGTTCCATCGCTACAGATCTTTACCTTCCACCCCATCTTGGGCCTGGACTCAGTGGGGGTGGTTTCTGCATTCTTGCACAGGCTGGCTAAGCTGACTTGACTCTGGGCATATTCTACAGCTGACTTCTGCTGGATAAGTTGCATGTAGCTTTGATAATGTTGTGCATGAGCTGGGATGTAGGCGTTCTTGTATGAGGAATGACGCAAGGAAATCAAAAGACTCTTCCTTGGGTTCTTTTTCTTACTCTGCTTTCTTTTCCCCTGATTTATGACCTCTGGATCTCCAGGTAAACTCTTGGTGGGGCTGATCTCTTGAATGGGAGAGAGGTGATGTTTGGAGCATCCTGCTGTTGAGTTGCGTCTATGCATGGGAGAACCTTTACCCTTGTCTCCAGCAACCATCCTTTGGGAGTCAGGAGAATCTGACTCCAGAGCAGGATGTAAGCTCCAGCAGCTCTCTCCAGTGTTGTAAGCACTAGTAGAGCCTTCATTGTCCACGTGGTTATTGATGAGGTCCTGATGGACTTGCTCAATAAAGTGCTCGGTACTAGGATTTTTGGCTTGCAGATCACCAACTTCGGCCTGAAGCCTGTGTGCTTGTATGATACTCAGGCACTCAAGCTCAATGTTCAGTAACTCCTCATTAAGCATCTGAATCTCTTGATCATCACAGTCTACACTAACCCGCTTTCCAAATAGTGTGGCATCATGCTCCAGAAATCCCTGAAGACTGTTACCATTCACCAGAGATTTCAGTTCAAGCAGTTTCCGGAAACGTTCACATGCCGTGCCAGGTATACCAAGGAAGTTTCCACTGTCTCCATTGTCAACTGAAAGGAAGGAGTCATTACTTAAGTGCATGTCCCCACTTTCAACAGTGTCCGGATTATTGTTGTACTTCTTGTGGTTTTCTGGGAGAGTGTCACAGGAAAAAAAAATTAACTTAAATGATTTTAGCAAATGGCTGCAATATAACAAAGACTGAAAAATTTAAGGGGGTCTGAATACTTTCCGTACCCACTGTATATGAAATCACAATTAAGATTAAATGTTTAAAGATTAAACATGATTTGAACGTGCATTGTTCAGTAAGAGTGAGTGAATACAGTCTATCTATGCAAACACAATACCTCATATTCCAGTCCTCCACTCTCAATGTCTTTCTGTACTCCGTCATGGTACTGAAAGTCTGAGGGGTAAGGTGAGTCACGTCTTTCCATTTGATACCTTAAATACAATGAAAAATTAGCATTAACTGAAGCCCCATTCACAGAAAATCTAATTTTAAAATGAAAATTAAAAATGAAGTTTTTATGATACAGTTGGTGAAAGAAATGCTTAAACACTGATTAGCACTTACTGTGAGGGTGAACAGAAACTGTCCAGCAAAGCCATACGTGGTGTTGAAGGTGATGGTAAGTTGGCCAAAGTCTCTATTTGTTGCAAGGTTTTCAGCGTAATGTTGGTCTGAGTACTGTTGTCCATTCCTTGGGTTGGTTTAAGAGTCTTGCAAGTCTTTTGTGCCGTCCTGCGCAGTACCCTTCTTGTGGTTTTCTGGGAGAGTGTCACAGAGGGAATTCTGGTCATCCCCCAAGATGTCCTGCTCTGAGCTTTCATCATTCCGAGTGCTTTCATCTGTGCGGCCTACACCGCTGTCTTTCTCATGCTGGTTGGATAGTAAAGTAGCCGTATCTGTAGTTCCTCCATCTTCTTCATTTGTGCTCTGTTAAATTGAGTGGGTAGAAATTTTAATAGCTTGCAAATCACTTTTATAGTGAGGATAGTACCTTTTAATTGGATGAAGTGAGCAATTCACTGTTGACTTGACCCTTATTAACTTGCCTGCTGCAGCATACTTGCAGTGAACTCCTTGACCTTGTGATGTTGCTGCTCCAGTGTGCCCATGTGCAAGTCATCTAAGTTGTATCTATCCTCCTCCAACCAGCCAACATCCTGCAACCCATACCAAAATGCAATGTAATTCTTTAACTTAAATCACGAGTGTCCAAACCTGCTACAGAAGGGCCACCTTCATGTACAATTTTGGTCCTGTTAGTTGAGGTGTGTTTAAATTGGGTTTGAGCTAAACTCTGCAGAAAGGTGGTCCTACAGGAGCTGGATTGGAAAACCCTGACATTAATCAAATGTAATTTACCAAAATCTTTATCTGCAAGTGCACAGAACAGTTAGCAGACCTGACTTTCTGGTCGAGCCACTAGAAGGGTCACATTCTTACTCTCCACCTTGGTCAGAAGTGTCACTGCCGCCTCATGGCTCTGGCTGTCCATTCCATTGATCTTCAGCATGTAAAGAATAAATACAATAAGCTTTGTTTTAGGTTTTAGCCAAAATAGATTAAAAAAAAAAAACCCAATGGAATAAATTCTACCTGGATAATTTGGTCTCCTTCCTGAACTCTGCCATCTTTTGCAGCAATTCCTTCTGGATCAATCTAAACAGGGTAAGAACAGTGTATTTAGCCTTAACATTTGAGGTGTGAGTACACTGGAATACCTAAAGCTGCACTAAGCAAGTCTGATACGCACACACACACTAAATCAAAGTTGTAATTGTTGGAAAAACTGCCTGAACAATTACTGTCTTGAGAAATTCCCACTGTAGAACCCTACCTCGTTAATATAAATGGCAGACTTCTCGTCATCCGTCTTGTAACATAACTTCAGGCCAAGCTTATCCTGAGTGGTTTTCCTCTGCAGATCCACCTCCTATAAAACACAGGTAATTGATTTTGATGACAAAGATTAAGCATTTTAGTAATTGTTAACGTAAGACATAAGCCAAAGCCAGTCTCATTTGTAGTGCTTGCTGCACTTTAGATGATGATTCATTTGCATGATAAATCCATGTGCAATTAAAGTGGTCTTGGGAAAATATTTTTGGAAAGCCTCTACTGCTTGATCATGGGTGGCGACAGAAAGGGTTCTTCCATTTACCTACAGAAAAAAAAAAAAAAAAGTTTGAATGATTAAAAAAAGGAGACACGTGGGACAAGGTTTTCAGAGTAATAATACATAGTACTGGACGCTCTTTTACAACCTTGGCAAAAAGTCCACATTAACTTTTACTAACAACAGTATATTGAAACCTTGTTAGTGATATTGTAAGTTAACTTCTTTTGTGGGTCAGTTTGTGTGCTATCACATTTAATTATTTTAATGTTAACATGTTTACATTTGTTAACATGTAAATAGTTGTATTAACATAAAAAGATTAAACTGAGCCATAACCTGAACAAGTTTCACAGATTTAACAAACAGATAAAGATTAAACTGAGCCATAACCTGAACAAGTTTCACAGATATTTAACAAACAGAAAAGGAATACCAAGTCCCTGAACAACTGGGGGGTAGCTGCTTTATCATGGACTGAGCCAGATTTGCCAGTTCTTGCTGTAAGATGTTACTCCACTCTTCCACCAAGGCACTTGCAAATTCTCAAACATGTCTGGGGGGACACAGGGTTACACGTGGTTTGCCACTGCAGGGACGATCAGCTGTCCTTCCTGTTGCACTGTCTTAGGCCTCTTACATTAGGGACACTGCAGTGTATTTCTCTGGGCACATCTGCAGTCCTCAAGCATCCCTGCTGCAGGACTATGGCATGTTCACACAGGTGATCAGGGACTCTGGTCATCTTTCGTCTGCTTTAATGTCATAAGTTATATTAACTATGATCTTGATTGCCTGCCGCCTGTAAACCGTTAGTGTCTTATTGACTTTTCCGCAGGTGCATGTGCAATAATTGTTTATGGTTCATTGAACAAGCATGAAAATATTGTTTAAACCTTTTCCAATAAATATTTGTAAAGCGTATTTGGATTGTACAAAATTATCTTTAAAATATACTATCCTGAATAAGGATTTTTGATGAGTTTTATATATGTGTATATTAATTTAATCCAAAGGATGCCTGTATGCATTTTCTCTGGGATTCGAACCCATGACCTTGACATTGCTTGTATCATGCTCTACCAGTTTGCATTCTACATGAGCTCTGCTTTTGCAAGGTTCACTTCACATTATACAGTAGTCTTCAACGGCCTGCAGATCTGCATGTACATAATGTAAGGAACAAAACCCTTATATACTTCTATGAAATGCAGACTGAGCAGAGATTTTCAAGAATGCACTTAAAATGCCACTTTAATTGTATGCATTGTCATCCCAACTCTATAATATATACCGAACTTGAGTGCAATGTGTGGCTCGCTGTACATTAACCCTAAAACCAGATGTGAGGTCAAAATCCAAAAACCTGCTGATTTCTGAGGAGGGGATTCAGCATTCCAGATAATGTACAGCAGGTGGGACAACTGAGGATTGTTTTATGCATTTAACAAACTTAAAAAAAAAAAAAAAACGTATAATAAAAATCCTCTGGTATAAATCGGAATATAAAAACAAACAAACACAAACAGGTGTACGGTACAGAAAGACAAAGCAGGTCTAATGCCATCCATTTGACTCTGTTAATTCAGTTAATAGGCTTATATTTCTAGCTGACTGGAATGAGAAAAACATATGGACACATAAGAACAGAACCTGCAAGATACAAGTTAATGATTTAGTGACCAAGAACGAAAGACTCCAGGCAAATGTTGTCATACGAAAGACTGACTTTTTGACCTAAAAACAGTTAATTTGGCTAAACATTGCAAAGCCAGTCCTGAATGTGAAGGACTAATTCACCGAGATATTTATGTTCGGAAGTTCGGTTTTAACATTATCACAGTTAGTGAGATTTCATTTATCGATTGAAGTCCAACAGGGTGTGTAAAAGCTTTTGAATTACACAAGGAAATGGCTATTTGCCAGTAAGCTAATGGGAGAGAACTTCATTTATCAAAGCGCTGTAAGACTCAAATCTCAAAGCTAATGTCCTCAGGGACCTCGACTCAATCTGCTGTCTGTTCTGGAATCTTGCAGTCGCAATAACACACATGGGAACTTTGTCGGTGTGCCCATTCATGTGTGAACTGACAAACTACTTTAAATTCACTCACTCACACTGTTTCTCGAATGCCGTTTGGCACACAGGGCAAAACATTCACTGCATATACTTGAGTTTAATTCAACGAGACATCCTTTGCCTGACTACAGCCACTTTTAAAGTTGCATTAAAGCAAGACAAATTCTGTATGTAGTGATTCAGCTAGTTTGATAACCAATTCAGATCTTTTTCTGATTGATGAATTAATCAAATAAACAAACTTTATTTCCATCTTTTCATTGAAAAGCATGACATTCTGTATTTTGCCCACTTCTCTCCTTCATACAATGTATAAAACGTAGGCCAAAAATTGTTTAGAAAAGTAAATGTATGAAATACACTGTCTGGAAAAAATTACATTTTTACTTCGAAACTGCTAGCAAATTGCACAAATAATTACAAAGAAACAGCAAGTAACACATTGAATTAAACATCAAATTTTGAAGTAAAAAGATTGAAATAATATTTTATTGTCAAACGTTCTCAAATAATCCTGGTTTTATTTACAACTTTGAAAAATGTGTTGTTTTTACACAGGCAACACAGTACTAAAGTTGCTTACCATACAAAAAAATAAAATAAAACACTGAAATGTAACGTATAAATATTAATATTTCCCTAATTTAGCTACTTTTTGTTAAGTGATGCACTAAAATATAATAGAGTTTGATTGGATGGAAGTTAATAAGCCTATTTATTTCACAGTTCTAAATGCACAATTATGGCTTGTTGTATTTTAATATTTGCATTTAACATCAATTTTCCTTTTTTAGCGTCTTTTAATGAGTTCAGTTCACACTTTCAGCCATACAGGAGTTCAGCTGGAGGTTAAATTACAGTGGGAGCTAATTACACGAGGACTGTGGGAATGTCACTGATCTATAATAAACCAAACCACATAAACAAACAAACAAACAAACACGCATTCATTAAGTATAGTGATGAGATGCCAAACATTTCTCGCTCTTCTTCAGTAGAGTGTGACCCTCTCATGACCCTGTCAAACATACACGGTCTCCAAAACACATTCCTTCCTTCGGCAAAATAACCTTTCGCAGCCTTTTTAGCATGCAAACAACCTCCAGAGACAAACCGCGTAACCTCAAAGGCATTCGAAATGTGTTCATTCAATTGTCTTAATCAATTAGAATTTAATCAGACTATGAAGCCTTTACTCCCAGCGTACATTAATGAGGAATAAACAAACCAAAATGACACTGACAAGTCAACCAAAACACAACAACTTGACAACTATGCATTTTTTTTTTACCTGACATTTGCCTTGTAGTAGTTTGTAGTGCTCATCTGACCGCTGTATAGTACAAAGACTACAGCCCATGGTGGAAACACATCAGCAAATAGTACGCCGACTCCAAAATGTAATCATAAAAAGAGAGAGTATCTATAGAGCCTGAAGCTTACAGACACAACTTCAGCGTGAGTCGGTGTTTGTGTCTGTAAGTCACGCATGTGAGAGCTTGTTCCCTCCTCCCATTCACTGCAGCCATCTCTCCCTCTCTCAGTGAAGTGTTGTCTATATCCTCAACTACGGTGTTTTTATAATCATAAAAACAATTCAAACCCGTAATCAACCATCCACCACATTACCAAAGATTATAATAACCACGTTCCTCAGGTGTGGCGCAACAGAGGCTGTTTTGTAATGTGCGGAAACAAGTCATGAAAATGCTTTGTTGGGGGCCAATTAAAAAGCTCACTTCTCCAATTACTGGCACGAGCATGTCGATAGGAAAATTCATGCTATAAAATGAGCAGTTCCTGTTATGTCAGAGTGCTCAGCAGCGGTACAACAGCAACCAGAGGGTGTTGTTATTGGTTATTCCTCCAAAAGTACATGAATGCTCAGCCTTTGGGTTCCAGCTTGTGATGTAATCTGGCATGTCACAGACAGGGTAAAGGTTACTGAGGAACAAACATGTGTTCATTGATTCGGACCACATTACTGCAGAAATGAACAGAACTTAATGGTTCATGATATGAGGAATCCATTTTTCAATTATCTTTTCACATATAAGACTTCATTGTAGCATAAAAACAACTTTACTTGTAAGTTTCAGTATTCTTAATGTATCTACTGATGCTCTTTTGATGATCTATCTTTCCAAGCTGTAAAAAAATTACAGCCAGTAAGATTTTCTATTTTTAAAAAGAAATTATTACTTTTATACATCAAGGATGTATTAAACTGATCAAAAGTGACAGTAAATAAATGTATAATGTGATAAAAGATTTATATTTCAAATAAATGCTGAACTTTCTATTCATAAAAGAATCCTGGGGAAAAAAAAAGAATTTCATGATTTCCACAAAAATATTAAAGGGGTCATATGATGCTTTTTTTAAAGATCATTATTTTGTGTATTTGCTGTGCACGCTCTCTCTGTCTCTCTCTCTCTCTCTCTCTCTCTCTCTCTCTCTCTCTCTCTCTCTCTCTCTGCGCGTGTGTGAGCGTGGGTAGGCAGAGTGCTTTTTCCCTCTCTTTGCTGTGTCTATCCTAAACTGTGCGTTTCTAGTTGTTCTTCAGGCCGCGTGCCATCCGCTTTATTGAGGAAGCATGTCGGCCCCACGCATGCAGAGGTTAAGCTTACTTATGCGGCGCCACGCTGTAAAGGTGGCGTCCGCGGTGAGTGTGGAAGATTGTTGTTTGGCAATTGGAGAGGTGATGGGGCATGAGAGTGTGCTGTCCGCCTCAAGAATGAACGGTGCCAATGTAGTGTTTCTTGACAGTATAGATAAAGCTAATGAAATAGTTGAGCACGGCATAGTTATCAGTGGTGAACTTGTCCCTGTTCTGCCCCTTTCTCTACCGGCTGAGCGAGTCACTTTGTCAAATGTCCCACCTTTTGTGAGCGATGATATTTTAACTCAGGCATTATCTAGATATGGTAAATTGGTTTCCCCGATCAAAAAGATCCCAATCAGCAGTGTGTCGCCTCTGTTGAGACATATTGATTCTTTTAGGCGTTTCGCTTATATGATCATTAAGGATGACGCTGATCTGGACATGTCACTCAATTTGATTATGTTGTTTTTGTCACCACTGCAAAGATTAAATGTTTTGGTTGTAACAATTTTGGCCATTTAATTCGCAACTGTCCTGACAAAGTTGCAGTAAATGAAAGGAATGCGGTAAGCGAGAATGCTGAAAGTGGTGATGCGGCTGGTGTTGCCGGTGCAGCTGCGGTGATATCCCCGGGGGAAGGCTCGGTGGTGGCGGCTACAGGTCTATCCAGTGAGTCTGAGACTGGATCGGCCTCGTCGCATCGGCCCTCACATTCGGCTCACGCTGAAACGCTTACAGATGCTGGTGTGAAGGATCTAGCAGCATGTGTGGCACAATGTTCCAGAGACAATGGTGATGAGCAAAATGATAGAACTTCAGGAAATACTTCAGCACAACTGCAAGAAATGTGTGAGGTGAATAACTGTCTTAGAATGGAAAATGAGCAATCTGTTTTTAAAATACCTCAAACAAGGAAGAAAAGTGACAAAGTACTTGATGCTAAAATAAGCAAAAAAAGTGAAATGCATAAGGATGAGGAGCAGGATATTGAGAGTGATGGCGAGTCTTCTGACTCCAGTGTGTCTCTCTCTCAATGTGAGTTTGCTGGCCGGAATTATGA